CAGGGGAAGTGACCTAGTAGCGATCAGTGAAGAGGCGGGGCCCGGAACTCGGGCTCGACCCCCGCAACCCCAAATAGGTGACACAAAATATCCCTCCAAACTGCCAAACCCAAACCCCTCCTTTTAAAATGCAGGCTTGTACTTCCCATTTTCCAGGCTCAAGTCCGCTTAAAAAAACCGTTTCCCCGAAACCCCCCTTTCCCAAATATTACCCTCTCACACTCCAACAGATCTCGGTCCCAAGTACCATTCGCTCCATTTACTCCTATCTAACACCTCACGCACGCTTCTGGAATCCAAGCCCCTTGCCCACAAAACCTCCTTACCCCCCCCTCTCCAACTCTTTCGAGGGCGACCCCTACCCCTCCTTCCTTTCCCCATAGATTATATGCTTTCCTGTCATTCTACTTTGATCCATTCTCTCTAAATACCAAACCACCTCAACAACCCCTCTTTCTGCCCCGACTAAACTTTTTTTAACCCACACCTTCTCCAATTTTCCCCACTCCAATTTTCTGCATAAATATTTACACCCCCATTCCCTTAAACAGGACATCTCCACGCCCCAAACCCTCTCCTCGCTGCTGCATTTACCACCCAAACTTTACAACCCATTAAAAGTGTTGGTACTACTTACTTTTATACATTCCCTTCTTTCCTCCTAGATAAAGTTTTTTGACTCCACAAAACCTCAAAACACCACTCACCTTTTTTCCCCTCAAATTTTTATGATTAACCTCACCTTATAAATCCATCCGCCGAACTCAACTCCCAAGTATCTGAAAACATTCACTTCTTTTCCCTACTCCCCCTCCCCAATTTGAATCCAATTTTTCTTTATCAAATCTTTGACACCCTCATCACCTTACCTTTTCTATTTCACTTTAACTTTCTACCTTTCCACATTCCCAAACTCACCACAACCTTGAATTTTTTTTAGAATCCCCAAAAAACGTACATCCAAAAAATAACTGTGTCAATTCCCATTTTTTAATTTGATTCCCCCAAAAATTTTTTAAACCCCCCCCTCCCCAACCCCTAGCATTTACTTCCTTTACAAACCCCCTCATAAATATTTAAACAACCATGGTGACATTACACCCAACCCTGTCTAAAACCTACTTTTCCGGGAATAGTCTCCCTCTCTTTACACACCCTAACCTGAGCCTCACTACCTCATAAAACTCTTTACAGCATTTAATAACTTACCCCCTATTCCAATACTGCAAAATCTGCCACTTGCTCCTCTATCCCCCATCATATGCCTTTTCTAAATCCATAAATGCAAAAAAAACTTCCCATCTTTAATAAAAGTTTACATATATGCTTCAAAATTTAAACACCTGATCTACACATCCCCTACCCCCTCTGAAACCTCCTTGCCATCCCAAACCTACATTCTCTTACCTCTAATTCTTTTAATTTTAACCCAACCCTACACTTTTTCCCGGAACCAGTACTTATTCCCTATAATTTTTTTTCAGTCTCTTTTGTCCCCCTTTTTCCCTTTTTAAAAAAGGGGCTTACATGCTCTCCGCCAATCCCCAGGTACCTTCCCCTCTTTCATACATTTATTAAACAAAAGTACCAACCACTCCAACACAATCCCCCCCCCGCTTTTAAAAATTTCTGTCATATCCCATCATTTTCCGCTGCTTTCCCCCTTTTATTTTACGTAATGCCTCACGTACCTCCCCCACACTTACATTTTGCACTTCTTCACTCCTAAAAGAAAGGTATACCTCCCTGACCATGATGAAATTACTGCTCGTTTCTTCCTTAACATTTTAAAAATTCCTCAAAAAAAACCGCCATCTACCAATACCTCCATCCCCCACCTAACCCCCTACTCTGTTTTTAACTGACAAATCCTTTTTCCCTAGGCTTTCTTAACTTGTTTTAAATCACCCAAATTTTTTTTTTTTTTTCATTTTAAAAATTTTTTGACAGTGCCTCTCCACCTATCATCTGCTCTCCTTTTGCACCTCTCACCACTCTCTTTACCTTTCTTTACTCCCATATACTCTGCTCTTTTATAACACTTTTTGCTTTGTAAAAACCTCTCATAACACCTTTTTCTTTTTATCACACCCTTTTCTTCATCTTCCCCCAATCACTCCTCTTTTCCCCCCGCCCCCACCCCCTAAACCCCAAACTTCTGCCCCACATTTTAAACTGCATTTTAAAACTATTCCAACCCTCTTCCCCCCCCCCCCCCTCTCATCTTTGCACTGCCCACCTTCTCCAATAGTCCTTAATCCACCCGAACTTTCCCCCCCCTTAGTTTATACACTTTCACCTCCTCTTACTTGTTGCCACCTTCCTCTTTTTCCCTCACCTCTTTTCTCTAACTGAGCTACAACTAAATAATGATCCGAAAATCAGTTGCCCCTCTATAAAAAAGTACATCCCGGAGCCTACCCATCAACCTTTTTTCCACCAATACTAATTAATAAACTACTTTTATTACATGCTACACATACCTTGATATTTATTTTCCTTTTTCATAAAAAATGTATTTTCTTATTACCAAATTTCTTTCTAACTAGCCTTAAAGGCTCCCCATTTACATTTACCCCGGCACCCCAAATTTTCCTACAAAATCCCCAATAACATTTTTGCCCCCTTTAGCATTGAAATCCCCCAAACCACCTTACTCTCCACACTTGATTCAAAACTCCCCACGCATTCACCAACATTTCCCAAAATCCTCTCTCCTCCCCAACTTCCTCTTCTCCAGGTCAAAAACGCTTATTTAACCCCCTTTTTCACACCAATCTTTTTTTTACTCCCATAATCCCCGAAAAAAATACATTTTAGTCCCCCCTTTTTTCCCGCCATAGCTTATCCTTTAAATTATTTCTACTCCTTCTTTTTCCTAACCTATTTGAAACCCCTGACCTAATCCCATTTATTCCTCTCCATGAAAATCTCCCCCCCCCCCTTCAGCTTTGTTTCACTTAAACCAGGACATCCGCTTCCCATTCATAACATCCAAATCACCTTTCTTAAACATCCGCACAAAATCCACGCACATTCAGATTTTCCCCCTTTGACAATTTCTTCTCTTATTCTTTTTAGTAATTTTACAGGAAAAGGGGTTCTAGCCCATTGTTCCTGGCATTTATATATATATATATTATATTAATATATATATATATATATATAATATATATAAAATATATATATATATAATATATACATATTTTTTTTTTTTCAACAAGTTTTCCGTCTCCACCGAGGCATATAATATAATATAATATATATATATATATATAATTATATATATATATTTTAATATATAAATTATATAATATAAAATAAAAAAATATAAATTATATATTAATATAAATAAATAATATATATATATATATATATATAAAATATAATATATATAATAATAATATGTCACCATGGTCATTAATATATTTTTAATGGGGTTTTTAAAAGGGAATAAATGCTAGGGTGTTCGGGGGGAGGGGTGGGATTAAATTTTGGGGAAACAAATTCAAAAAGGGAATTGAAGTTTTCTTTTTTTCTGAGAAACTGTGCTTATGGGGGAAATTTTAAAAAAAAATTTCAAAGGTTTTGTGGATGGTTTGGGAAAGTGGTAAAGGTAAAAATTGAAAGAACATAGAAAAAAGGGAAAGGTGAGAGGGTGTCAAATGATTTAGATAAAGAAAAATTGATTAAAATTGGGGAGGAAGTATGGAAAATAAATGTTTTCAATACTTTTTGGGGGTTGGGCGGATGGATTTATGAAGGATGAGGTTAATCATAGAATTGATGAGGGAAAAAAGGTGAGTGGTGCATTGAGGTATATGTGGAGTCAAAAACGTTATCTATGGAGGCAAAGAAGGAATGTATGAAAGTATAGTAGTACCAACACTCTTATATGGTGTGAAGCTTGGTGGTAAATGCAGCAGCGAGGAGACGGTTGGAGGCAGTGGAGATGTCCTGTTTAAGGGCAATGTGTGGTGTAAATATTATGCAGAAAATTCGGAGTGTGGAAATTAGGAAAAGGTGTGGAGTTAATAAAAGTATTAGTCAGAGGGCAGAAGAGGGGTTGTTGAGGTGGTTTGGTCATTTAGAGAGAATGGATCAAAGTAGAATGACATGGAAAGCATATAAATCTATAGGGAAGGAAGGCGAGGTAGGGTTGTCCTTAAAAGGGGTTTTGGAGAAAGGGGGTAAAGGAGGTTTTGTGGGCGAGGGGCTTGGACTTCCAGCAAGCGTGCGTGAGCGTGTTAGATAGGAGTGAATGGAGACGAATGGTACTTGGGATCTGACGATCTGTTGGAGTGTGAGCAGGGTAACATTTAGTGAAGGGATTCAGGGAAACCGGTTATTTTCATATAGTCGGACTTGAGTCCTGGAAATGGGAAGTACAATGCCTGCACTTTAAAGGAGGGGTTTGGGATATTGGTAGTTTGGAGGGATATGTTGTGTATCTTTATATGTATATGCTTCTAAACTGTTGTATTCTGAGCACTTCTGCAAAAACAGTGATAATGTGTGAGTGTGGTGAAAGTGTTGAATGATAAAAGTATTTTCTTTTTGTGGATTTTCTTTCTTTTTTTGGGTCACCCTGCCTCGGTGGGAGACGGCCGACTTGTTGAAAAAAAAAAAAAAATATATGTATACACACATGCATGCCTGCTGTATCTTGGGTATATGCCTCAGCTCTGAGGAGCTGGATGAGATTTTCGCATCATATTCTGTGACAAACACGTTGCAATAAGAACTCTAGCTAGTTCCTCTCTCCCCCCCCCTCCCCCACCCTCTTTCGGCCACCATCTATCCCCACACATCTCTTTCCCATTTACATCTATTTCCCCCCCACATCCCACTGAGATGAGAAACCCACTCTGTATGATGGAATATCACAAACAAACAGTGTTAGCTTTTGATTGCATTATGTAGCTGTCAGACTAATATAACCGCATACTGCTGATGATGTAACCAATTTTGTTTCATAAAAAAAATTCCATGGTACTGACGTGAATGTTGTCCTCCATCTATTGGCAGAGAGAGTCTGGGTACTGACATCTGGTCCTCACTGTCTGCTGCTGGGGGTGGTGGGGGAGGCAGGTCACCCGGTGGTTCTGAGGGATACATCTCTCCCCCAGGGTACTCTTCAACACTCTGCAGAAGGTCATCATACAGGTCAGCTTCACCTTCAACTTAGTCAAGCTTAGTTTCAGCGCTTGATGTTAGACTCAGTTACAACTGAGATCAGGTTTGGCTACAATCGAGGTCAGATTGGGTTAAAGATTAAGTCAAGTTGGGTTACGAAGCTTGGGCAAGGTTGGTTTACATTTCGGGTTGCGTTGAATGACAGTTTAGGTCCGGTTGGGTTACAGCTTAGGTAAGGTTGCAGCTTAGGTCACACTGGATTACAGCTTAAGTCAGGTTGGGTTACAGCTTAGGTCAGGTTGGGTTAGCTTGGGTTACAGCTTAGATCATGTTGGATTACAGCCTGGGTTACAGCTTAGATAAGGTTGGGTTTCAGCTTGGGTTAGGTTGGGTTACAGCTCAGGTCAGGTTGGGTTAGGCTGGGTTACAGCTTAGGTCAGGTTAATAACAGAATATGAGAATCGTACACAATGCCACCTTGGTTGGTTAATGGAGTTTAAAGCCTATCGACTGCACGAGTGTAATTAAAGCTGCACACAACCTTTTTACCCTCAGACAAGAACACCTTAATCCATAAAATAGGGATCAAAGCAAACTCTCAGAATATATACACCGAGAGTCATACCTCCGTGTATACATCCTGTGTAATGCTATTCTATACACATGTCATATGCAGAACAACCACAGGAGATGAATGATAACTCTAGGATTTTGTGTTGCGATCAGTACATCAGGAGCTTGTAAATGTTGCAGAAATAGAGTAGTCAATCCAGGCAGAGTCGTTTCCCTGAACGACTTTGCCTGGATTTCCTACTCTATTTCTGCAACACTGCAAGCTCCTAATGATGTATTGATTGCAACACAAGCCTAGAGCTATTATTCAATTCCCCCTGTGGTTATTTTGCATCCTTTATCACTCACTCGTGATTATTGCACATTCCACATACGAATACTGTCCTGTAAGAAAATAATATTAACTTGCAATTACTATATTATTATTATTTATGTGTTTGAGGTAAAATGAAATTATTCTGAGAATTCCACAAATTAATCTGATTATACAAAGTACATATATAATTATATAGGGGATATAGTTTCAATACATAGATTACATTTACCATCTAACTTTTCGTATATCAGATCCTAAAATTTCCCTACTTTTTATGAATGAAATATTTCAGTTAGACTTTATAATCTATATAGAAATAAGACATATATATACAGTATACTTAATCTATCCTAAAGAACCTATATTTATTTCTTTATTTTATTATCACACTGGCCGATTCCCACCAAGGCAGGGTGGCCCGAAAAAGAAAAACTTTCACCATCATTCACTCCATCACTGTCTTGCCAGAAGGGTGCTTTACACTACAGTTTTTAAACTGCAACATTAACACCCCTCCTTCAGAGTGCAGGCACTATACTTCCCATCTCCAGGACTCAAGTCCGGCCTGCCGGTTTCCCTGAACCCCTTCATAAATGTTACTTTGCTCACACTCCAACAGCACGTCAAGTATTAAAAACCATTTGTCTCCATTCACTCCTATCAAACACGCTCACGCATGCCTGCTGGAAGTCCAAGCCCCTCGCACACAAAACCTCCTTTACCCCCTTCCTCCAACCTTTGCTAGGCCGACCCCTACTCCGCCTTCCTTCCACTACAGACTGATACACTCTTGAAGTCACTCTGTTTCGCTCCATTCTCTCTACATGTCCGAACCACCTCAACAACCCTTCCTCAGCCCTCTGGACAACAGTTTTGGTAATCCTGCACCTCCTCCTAACTTCCAAACTACGAATTCTCTGCATTATATTCACACCACACATTGCCCTCAGACATGATATCTCCACTGCCTCCAGCCTTCTCCTCGCTGCAACATTCATCACCCATGCTTCACACCCATATAAGAGTGTTGGTAAAACTATACTCTCATACATTCCCCTCTTTGCCTCTAAGGACAAAGTTCTTTGTCTCCACAGACTCCTAAGTGCACCACTCACCCTTTTCCCCTCATCAATTCTATGATTCACCTCATCTTTCATAGACCCATCCGCTGACACGTCAACTCCCAAATATCTGAATACATTCACCTCCTCCATACTCTCTCCCTCCAATCTGATATCCAATCTTTCATCATCTAATCTTTTTGTTATCCTCATAACCTTACTCTTTCCTGTATTCACTTTTAATTTTCTTCTTTTGCACACCCTACCAAATTCATCCACCAATCTCTGCAACTTCTCTTCAGAATCTCCCAAGAGCACAGTGTCATCAGCAAAGAGCAACTGTGGCAACTCCCACTTTATGTTTGATTCTTTATCTTTTAACTCCACGCCTCTTGCCAAGACCCTCGCATTTACTTCTCTTACAACCCCATCTATAAATATATTAAACAACCACGGTAACATTACACATCCTTGTCTAAGGCCTACTTTTACTGGGAAATAATTTCCCTCTTTCCTACATACTCTAACTTGAGCCTCACTATCCTCGTAAAAAACTCTTCACTGCTTTCAGTAACCTACCTCCTACACCATACACCTGCAACATCTGCCACATTGCCCCCCTATCCACCCTGTTATACGCCTTTTCCAAATCCATAAATGCCACAAAGACCTCTTTAGGCTTATCTAAATACTGTTCACTTATATGTTTCACTGTAAACACCTGGTCCACACACCCCCTACCTTTCCTAAAGCCTCCTTGTTCATCTGCTATCCTATTCTCCGTCTTACTCTTAATTCTTTCAATAATAGCTCTACCATACACTTTACCAGGTATACTCAACAGACTTATTTCCCTATAATTTTTGCACTCTCTTTTGTCCCCTTTGCCTTTATACAAAGGAACTATGCATGCTCTCTGCCAATCCCTAGGTACCTTACCCTCTTCCATGCACTTATTAAATAATTGCACCAACCACTCCAAAACTACATCCCCACCTACTTTTAACATTTCTATCTTTATCCCATCAATCCCGGCTGCCTTACCCCCTTTTATTTTACCTACTGCCTCACGAACTTCCCCCACACTCACAACTGGCTCTTCCTCACTCCTACAAGATGTTATTCCTCCTTGCCCTATACACGAAATCACAGCTTCCCTATCTTCATCAACATTTAACAATTCCTCAAAATATTCCCTCCATCTTCCCAATACCTCTAACTCTCCATTTAATAACTCTCCTCTCCTATTTTTAACTGACAAATCCATTTGTTCTCTAGGCTTCCTTAACTTGTTAATCTCACTCCAAAACTTTTTCTTATTTTCAACAAAATTTGTTGATAACATCTCACCCACTCTCTCATTTGCTCTCTTTTTACATTGCTTCACCACTCTCTTAACCTCTCTCTTTTTCTCCATATACTCTTCCCTCCTTGTATCACTTCTACTTTGTAAAAACTTCTCATATGCTAACTTTTTCTCCCTTACTACTCTCTTTACATCATCATTCCACCAATCGCTCCTCTTCCCTCCTGCACCCACTTTCCTGTAACCAGAAACTTCTGCTGAACACTCTAACACTACATTTTTAAACCTACCCCATACCTCTTCGAACCCATTGCCTATGCTCTCATTAGCCCATCTATCCTCCAATAGCTGTTTATATCTTACCCTAACTGCCTCCTCTTTTAGTTTATAAACCTTCACCTCTCTCTTCCCTGATGTTTCTATTCTCCTTGTATCCCATCTACCTTTTACTCTCAGTGTAGCTACAACTAGAAAGTGATCTGACATATCTGTGGCCCCTCTATAAACATGTACATCCTGAAGTCTACTCAACAGTCTTTTATCTACCAATACATAATCCAAGAAACTACTGTCATTTCGCCCTACATCATATCTTGTATACTTATTTATCCTCTTTTTCTTAAAATATGTATTACCTATAACTAAACCCCTTTCTATACAAAGTTCAATCAAAGGGCTCCCATTATCATTTACACCTGGCACCCCAAACTTACCTACTACACCCTCTCTAAAAGTTCCTCTTACTTTAGCATTCAGATCCCCTACCACAATTACTCTCTCACTTGGTTCAAAGGCTCCTATACATTCACTTAACATCTCCCAAAATCTCTCTCTCTCCTCTACATTCCTCTCTTCTCCAGGTGCATACACGCTTATTACGACCCACTTTTTGCATCCAACCTTTACTTTAATCCACATAATTCTTGAATTTACACATTCATATTCTCTTTTCTCCTTCCATAACTGATCCTTCAACATTACTGCTACCCCTTCCTTTGCTCTAACTCTCTCAGATACTCCAGATTTAATCCCATTTATTTCCCCCCACTGAAACTTCCCTACCCCCTTCAGCTTTGTTTCGCTTAGGGCCAGGACATCCAACTTCTTTTCATTCATAACATCAGCAATCATCTGTTTCTTGTCATCCGCACTACATCCACGCACATTCAAGCATCCCAGTTTTATAAAGTTTTTCTTCTTCTAAGGATATATATTCATAGTAACTTATTTATAATAGTGTACTTTCAAATAAAAAATAAGAATTTATAAATATTGGGTCACAGTAACTAATAATCAACGAATGTTATAACTCATTTATAAATTATTTTCACTAAACCAATTATGAATTTGAATTTTTTGGGAGGCAATACAAAATTCTTATGGTTATTATCATTACTATATCCTAGTTTAACTGTATAACTATTTCCTCTACAACTCTTTAAGTACAGTAGTTGTAGTATTTAGTAGTTATAAGTTATGGTCATGTTACACAAGGCAAGTTTACAAAAAATGGGTTGCCAGCTTAACACACTAATCAATTTTAGTAAAATAAAGTTTAAAAGTGCGCCTGACAGTCAATCATGAGGCTTCCTCTCTGCTACTCAATGTTGTTCCAGTTTTTTAATGTATTGCTACAATTTTACTGTTCTATTTCTACAAGGATAAAAAGTAATTATAATAATAAAAGTGGAATAAGCAAACTGGTTTAGATTAAGTAAGAAATATGTGGTTAAACTGCTGTTTAAATTGTGAGGTAAAGTTGATGCTAAGTGGCATCCTTACCACATTCAAGCAGCTGTGCATCACGTTCAACTTGAGTACACACAAACAGTGCCATAACCATCGTGGCATACAAGTGTTTCGTTAGAGATAAGAGACAATGAAGTAACATAATTGTGCATCATTTAAAGTAGTGTTGGATAAGAAGTGGTTATTGGTAATGTTACAGTTCAGCGTGTATTGTACCCAAAGTTTGATACACAAATGACCAGACTACAGTAACTACTCTGACTGCCAAGTTTATATAACAAATGATAAAGTTTTACACAAAGTGAAACATTGTCCCAATAAAAGCTTGTTCTGCACCACGTGTCTTTTCTTCACAGGAGATTAGGTTCTGACATGTGTCACAGCACTCACAGCAGTACAGCTGCATCATGACACACATCAACACATCCACATTATCTATCACTACAGTACAACTAAATAATAATTAGCCTTATAAAGTTTAAATATTTTAGTAACAATTAATATGTATCATTAAACATGATAGATATCTAAAATATTATTAAGCTAAATGTGACTAAAATATGATTAGTAAGTTTAAAGTAGATACAAATGTTTATCTATGTAAAAGAGATAAACAGACAGGAAGAGCAAACGCGTAGCGGCTGCTTGGCTGTTAACACTGCAGGTACTGTGGTTTTGCTCTACTAGTGTGCTGTCAAGGCGAGAAGCAACTTTCTCTTTTACGGAAGTAAAAAAAAAATGTTTAGAGAGGAAGCAGATAGCTAAAGAACATTAGATAAAGAGTATGAGTAAAATGCATTTAATGCCAAGGAAAGGGAATGGGGAGTGTAGCAAAATGAGAATGTTGACGTTAAGAAAGAGGAAGAAAGCAGCAGGCCTCAATAAAAAAATTAATGGATTCATGAAATAAGGAAAAGCAAATATGAAAGTTGCTTTCCCAAAGGTAGAGGCAAGGTAGCAGACAGAAAAGCCAGGACGGTAGAGAGAGGGTGAAGCATCTGAACCGTAAGATAATTTTCAATTTACTCGAAATGAGTGAAAAAGAAATGAAAAGGCAGTAATTTTGAACCGAATCTCTTTCCTTAGATTATTTAGTCCGAATTCTTGCAGTCAGTATATAACTGACTTAGTTTTAAATCTCAATTAGCAGCTACAACAAGAGAAACAAAAGATATTAAAAGAGGTTAACAAATTAAGTAGGTAAGTAAGGGTCCAGGGTTAAGCATCGTTCATTAGTGAAGGCAGGCACATGTAAACATCTCGGCCGGCTCAGCCTGATCTGAGCTAAGCTTGATCATAGCTAAGCCTGAAGTAAGTTCAACTTGACAACAGTTAAACCTGTACTGAAGTAAGTTTAATCTAAGGCTAACTGAACGTGAACTAGGTTTTATCTAACCTCAGCACAAAGCAAGCTTAGCTTCGTCCAAGTTGAGCCTGATCCAAGCTAAGCTTGAAGGTTAAATATTAAGCTGTGCGCACAAGCTATCAAGCCGTGAGGGTTTAGTGGTGACGTGGGGCCCACCTCGAAATTGTAATCCATGGAGGAGAAAGAGACGGGAGCTGCCAACTCCTCCTCCGTCTTGGCGGGGAAGACAGTGGGGGAGGGTGTCTCAGCAGAGGTCATTCACAAACATACTTACACAGGCATAGAGTACCGCACCAACTTATGAATGGACCAACAAGCTTATGTGTGAACTCAATATTACTCCTACAAGTTTTACAATGCTTCAAACTTACATAAATGAGTCAGGATACTTATGAATGAGTTGATATGTTTCTCCAGTAACTGTTACCAGAAACTTAAAATGCCATTTGTGCTGAACAGTATCATGAAAACTTTCAAGTGAACAGAGCTAAATGAATCAATGTTATTTTAATTAAATTAGAAAACTTATGAATATAAACATTGAAACAAACCTAAAAACATAATGAAGATAAATGTCTGAGTTATGAAAACAAAAAATAATATACAGTAACTTAGAAGTTATGTAGATGCAACTTATACAGATATTTAAACTGCATAGTAAAATCTTTAGAAATAATGAGAAAATCAACAAATGGTCAAAAATTCCATTACTATGTACTAAACCAAAACTGAAACCAAGAAACAATTTTCTGAATAAAGATATACTGCTAAAATTAATATGTTAGGTAAACACACATGAGAAATGCAGCCATACTAGATGCTTCATTAATGCTCGTGTCCTTTTAACTAAAAAATTTCCATAATGAAAGAAATAATAAATCGACAGATAGTAAAACTCTCGGATGACCATGATCACCAATAAAAAAAATACAGCTAATTAATGCATTCTAATTGAGGTGGATGTATGGGAAAAATGCTTTGTAAAGAAGTTGAATAATAAATATTGATTATATAATTACTATAAAGATATTATTAATTATATTGCAAGCTAAATTATTTCATGAATGACTATGAAACTCTTCTTTCATAAACCTGAAGCAATACTCTCACTCACTCTTGAAGTACTACTCTCAATGACACATGAATGAATCCTGATTAATAAGTCTCTAATACTACTGACTTACACATGTGATTAATGAACCGACAACACTAGTGACTGGAACACCTGATGGATGATCCTTCAACACTCTTGACTTACAGAATTGATTATTGAGCCTTCATCACTGCTGACTTACACACCTGATCAGTGAATCTACATTTATAATATCACTCAAACATTTTATAAATTAATGGAGGCATACACTTTGAGAAATTTTAAATGCAGTCCAGCAACTGTAAAACAGGAACCATGTACACAGAGAGTGATAGAAAAGGGCAGATAAGATATGGAGAGAGAAATAGAAAGAAAGACACAGAGGGATGAAATGGGAGAAGGGGTAAAGGGTAGATAGGAAAGGTTTGAGAGAAATGGGCAAGAGGAATGAAGATGATGGGAGGAACAGGGAAAATAATTAAAGACGAATTACACAATAATGCTTACCAAACCTAGTGTGTGTGTGTTCTTTTGACATAATTAAATTACAAGAGAGGATCAAAGTTTGCAGAGATTAAAAAAAATGGAAGGCATGTCAAAAGTGTTTGTATGTGGAAACGTAGGTAGCCATTGTCTGAAATCTTCTTGGAAGGGAAAAAGGATTAGAAACATCAGGAGTGACAAGACAACACTTCACAGACAATAAAAACATGGGTGCTCCTGAGAGGAGAAATTGAGGTTGGACTCACTATGAGAAATAGGATTTCAGAATCTTTAGGCTAATTATTATAATTGCTATTATTATTATTATTGTAATTATTTTGATTATATTCATGGGAAAAGTACGTGAAGTAAGGAAAGCAATCAAGTTTGATCTGAGGAAGGGAAGGATAGCTTCAATTCCTTGGATTAAAAGCTTCTCATCAGTCTTCAGCTAGGATTAACGGGTTGGGTGATTGTGGGTACATACAACAGGTAGTACTGAGACACGAGTTTACAATATGTCATCTGGGCGACTTTAAAACACAGTTCACTTGCTGATCATGATGCATAGCCAGAGGATCTCTTGTTGCAGGCCTTGACCAAAGCTATATATCTTAAATTAGGGAGGGGAGGGCAAAAAAACTTTTTTTTCTAATTATCCAATTTCAATGAAATTTTTACTGTGATTTAAACAGCATTTGATACAGGTACACTGTGTTTGCAGTGATTTTTGCCTCAAAAGATAGATAAAAAAATAATGCCCTATTTTATAGGGTATAATTATTATTATTCTCAAAAGGAAGCACTATTAGGTATAATACAAAAAAAGATTTAGCAAAATTGGTAAGATGTGCAATGTTCTAGTTGACATCAGGGCAGGATGTCAATAGATTGCATAATAAAAAATATGTGTAAAAATCTTGGCATTCTGTCATATAGTTTTTGCAAAAACCTTAGTGAAAGGTCAATAACTTAAAATGAGAAATTCCATTTTCTGTAAAACTCTATGGATACCGTGCGCCAGATGTCGGCTCACCAGCCACTTCCACTCTTGACTGCAGCCCACAAGCGACTGAGCAGCTGTTCTGTTCTAGATTCACAGGTATAATCGCCCGGCCCGGAACTTTTCCAAGAGGTGGCCCGGTCTTGGTTCCCTTTCATGGGAGTGTCTCAGACCAATGTCTGCCATGGGAGGAAGTACAAGTACCTCCTCATCTTCTGGAACCAGCTGTCCCCAGGCCTAGCCCCAGTCCCTGCCCCCACGGGGCTTGGAGGGAGAAGCTGGGCACCTTGGGCTGCCACAAACCCCACCCACACTGGGCTTGAAGGGTGTGGCAGCTGATAGCAGCAGACAATGTCAGGAGGTGCAAAAGCAGCAATCTCTACAGGATCCTTTTCGAGCCACACCCCAGCTTTGGGCCGAAGCCTGAGTGCTAGGGAAGTTCAACAATGCCTCTTGCTGTGAGTGCTGCTGCTGCTACTCCACTTCTCCGTTGCACTCTTCCCCCCAACTGAGCAGCTCTCAGTATGAGCACTAATATGGAGTCAACAGCCAAGATGCCACGCTGCAGTGTATTTTGAAAGAAACAATCATAAAAATCGTAATTTCTGGAGTAAAAAAAAAAAAAAAAAAAAAAAAAAAAGACACGAATTGGCATCACGTCCTCTTGATATCAGCAAGAACACAAAAAAAAACATTTTTGGAAAAAGATACTTGGAAATATGATAGAAACAAGCTGAATGCATCAACATGTTACCATAATTATGCACTATTTTTCTATAAAAAAGTTTTTTCCAAAATATTTCGTTTTTTCCTGCATATCGCTCTCCCCCCCCCCTTTTAAGCTCACCTCCTTCCTTCCCATCATTGCCTACTTACTCATTCCTGCTAATTTTTAACTACATATACTTCAGCAACCTTGTGTAATCAGCACAGACACCGTAAGTCATTACTCTGTGGTGATCCTGTGTTTATTATATGTGGTCTAAAGCCTACCATCACATTTGTTTATGGGATGTACCAATAAGCCAGCGAATGGACTAGGTCATAGGATGACCCACTCAGTGTTATTAATATTATGAAAAAAGAAGCGTTAAACCTAACTCAGTGGTGTCTGTGGTAAATTTTTGACCCTTATGATAAATTTTATATTTCTCTTGGCAAACGGTTTTAAATTTAAGACTCATCAGTGATGAATTATTTAGGCATGATATTACCTTGTATTAAGACTTACCAATGGTCGTTCAGGCATATTTCCTCGTATTTACGCTAACATAGGCCATACCATGCCACAACCTTGTTGTTATGTCAGGACAAGATACCACTATCAACCTGCTTAGGGTCTAGGTTGGGTCAGGTCTGATGCCCACAGGACATCGTCGCAAGACAGTTGTGTCACTCTGATACCCAACAGGTAGCAATGAATATGTTCCACAATTGCTTTGTATTCCATGTCGATTGCGTACTCTGTAACATGCTGAATCAACGGATAACTTGTGCCAACCCCTTGGATACATGTGTCCCTATAATACTGAATAAGCTCAACTAGAAGAAAACTTTATTCGAATTATTAACACGAGAAGGTTAATAACCCAGGATACCTCAAGAAAGCCAATAAGCATGTTTTATTTCCACTGGGATCCTTATTATGTCATTCCCAGTAGGCAACTCACAGTAGTCAGTGTGAATATGAAAATGGTATACATCACTGATGAGTTGATGTGCAGCAGCTAGGTATCTTTATTCCGAAACGTTTGGCCTATACAGTAGGCTTCTTCAGTCGAATACAAAGCAGGCAGCAGAAGCAGTGAAGACAATATAATCAGTCCATCACCCTAGAAGACGTAGTTTTGAGGCTGAGGGACTGACCAGGGTGATGGACTGGAGATAAAAACTGATTACATCATCTTTACATCTCAACTGTTTTTTTTCCACACATCAATTTTACAGGCTAAGAGTTATCCTACCTCAACTCATTTCAATGCCCACCCCTATCTGAGGTATACTAACACTCCCCAGGATGCGACCCACAACAGTCGACTTAATACCCAGGTACCTACTTACTGCTAGGCGAACAGGAACAGCAGGTGTAAGGAAACATACCCAACGTTTCCCCCGGCCGTGAATCGAACAACGAACAATCGGTATGTGAGCCTACTGTGTACGCGTCTCACTTATCACAGTAGCATGTGATAGGCTTGCCTATACGTTCCGCCTCGAATAGCATTCAAACCTCCACATCCTCTAGGTTGCGAGCCGAGTACGAGAACCACTCCATAATGTTACTGAATTCATTGTCAAACTCATTAGTACTAATAATGATTAATATTTTTTTTAATTTTCATTGCTAATGTAACTTGATTTGCTGCCAAAGTGATGGCAGTTGGCAAGAAGTTGAACAGCCACCTTCTAAAACTGCTGAATCAGCTGGGTTGTGATGGCTATGTGGAGCTGCAAGCAGTCAAGACAGTCTTATTGACCAGGTGGTCAACATGAAAGGCTAGCCTCAGGCTGAACTGTGGGAGCACAAAAGTCACCAGAACCGCTAACAGGTAAAGGATAAACAGTACTTTAAAGTGGTACTAGTGACTCAGTTGTAGTACTCGTGACTCAGTTGTAGTACCTGTGACTCAGTTGGTGCGTCCTCAGTTCACACACCGTGGAACCAGCGGTCGCTCCCAGGCACGGGTGAAACGTCGGACATACTTCCTTTCACCTGCTGTCCTTGTTCATGTAGCAGCAAGTAGTACCTGGGTGTTTAGTCGACTGTTTTGGGTCGCATCCTGGGAAGAAGATTAAAGGACCCCAGTCTTTTAAAAGAGACAATTCCCGATGATGCACTGACTTGATTGGGTTATCCTGCATTACTAACCATCACGGCTAATAATCTGAAGAAAATCTTGTTCCCAGACAGAACATGAAGCCTCATGGTGAGTCCTCTAGCTACCAGATAATGGAACTGCCCTAGAGAAAATGATAGGCAGAAGGGGCAAACGAAACTAAAAGTGGCAAGACAACCTATTAATTTTCGTATTAACTCGTACAATTTGAACACAGAGAATTTAGTTATCAAGTGAAGGAGCATTTCAAGCAGGAAAAAGAGAAGGTATAGTAATTTTTCTCGTATCATTCCTTACAATGAGCACACACGACTACTATGTATAATCACAATATGCATCAAAATGAACACACATGACTATTCTGCATCACAATACGTACACACATATACACAATTACATTGCATCATCACAATGCGCACACATGACAGCATCACAGTGCGCACACACGACTACTCTTCGTTATCACAATGCACGCACATGACTGCATCATCACAATGCATATACATGACTATGTCATCACAATGGGCTATGTAAACTGCAATATTAAAAACAATTACTGTGCTCGCTACAAAAATCTAGCTGTGGAGAAAGCCAGCTTGCTAAAGCTAGTGATAAAGCAAGCAAACGAATCAGTTGAACATATTATCTCTGAAACCTATTCCACATAAATTGACAAAAACTGAAAAACTACTGCTGTTAAGTAAAATTAATAAGGCTTAAAGTTATTTCGAATTAGCAAAGTGTTTTTTTATTAAAAGTACTAATCCAAGAATAAAGCAAAAATACATAAACATGTGGCTCATAAAAAATATCTTTATATAGCTGAAAAATTTTATTAATGCCTTGAGCGCTACAAAAATGAGATTTAAAATATAATTCAAACAAGTCCAGGATCTGACAAACTGATATTTACATCAGTCATAAGAATAACAATTTAGACTTGACAAACTGCATTAACGTGCATCACAAGAGCTGCGAAGCACACAGTGTTTCCTCTCCTCCAACTTGTACCATCATCAGTGACAATACTGAAATCCCAAAAAGCGTTCCCCTACTTTCAGTACATTTAAACCTACACCTGGAAACAACTGAAGAAATTATAAAACCTCATTTATGTTGGGTAAACACACCATATATCTCTATATCTACTCATAGTAGATATAAAACTCCAGGTTTTATAGTAAGGCTAAGTTCAAACATCAAATTTGCACATTACCTATTTTACCAAAAATATAGTCTGAGCCTAGCATAAAAACTACAGATCTTGTCAGGCTGATGTAGAGTCAATCTATGTCCCTAAACCTAGCAGCATCAGCTAATTTAAAATGCGTTCCTGAGGGTGGCAAAGACCTACCTCGAGGTTGTACTCTATTGAGGAGAAGGAGATGCCTCTCTGTGGAGCTCCGTTGGCAGTAGTGTGAGTTGTTGCCTCGCCAGCCATGCTGTCCTCAGCACCGGGCTCTGGGAAGGTGGCAAAATCAGCGTTGGCACCCTGCATCCCTCCCTCCTCCATCTCTATGTAGTTCTGGGGAATGAACCCCACCTGCGAAAGGATGGAAGCATAATACCGGGGTGCATAAGCCATGTGTATGAAGCTGGAAGATTGTTGGTTATGCACAGGTCACCTCTCGAATGCTGAACTATCTGATGATGCACAAGCCATTTTTGAAAGGCTGTAAGCTCCTGGCTATGCTCAAGCCACTTTTAGAAGACTGGAAGCTCAATAAGGATATGCAAAACCCACCTGTAGAAGCTGCAAGCTTAAAATGTATATATTGGAAGCTTATTACTGTATGCAGAAGCCATCTGCTGAAAGTGTAAGCTTAATATGGGGATGAAGCCTACCTTATTGCAACAAACTAAATTCACTTTAAACCTCATAATATACATGAAACTGAACCTTACATAACCAGAATATATGAAACTTTATGCTAACTAACCAGAGTATATGAAACTTTATGGTAACTAACCACAGTATATGAATCTTTATGGTAACTAACCACAGTATATGAAACTTTAACGTAACTAACCACAATACTATATATGAATCTAACATATATCACCTCAATGAGAAAAGTTTTTTATTATTAATTTTCTCATGTGGGTCAATCAGCGCTGCAATGCAACATAGGTAACTGTATCACACCACAGTACACTAGTACACATTTTATGCATTTACTAAACATTCTAAAAAAAAAAAAAAACAGAGAGAGAGAGAGAGAGAGAGAGAGAGAGATACCTCGCCCTTGTAGTTCCTTGCCTGGACCCAACCATCCCCGTCTCCTTCACCCATCACCTCCAGTTCCTCGTTCTCCACGATGGTTAACTCGTCAGGGTTCTGAGCCTGAAATAAACAATATCTCTCAGTTTCTCTATACATATATTTACCTATTTACCTTTTTACATATTACAGTTTCCTGTGAGAAAAAACAGCGAACTTCCAAACGGATTCTTGATTTCTCACATTATCAAGGAACTGTGAAGTTCACAATTTTTTTCACATAGTTGTTCTGCATATTATATCACTTGTTTACTGTGATGTTATTGCATATACAATTTGCTCACATGTTTATTATACTTTTACTATGCTCTGAATTCACATTTGCATACACGTTTGGAATGTCTAAATGAGGGAATGTCAACTAATATTTTACAACTTTCTTGCTGTATGTAGTTGTTTACTAACTGTATGTAGTCGCTTACCTACTGTATGTAGTTGCTTATCAAATGTGTGTAGTTGCTTACCAGCTGGACGAAGATGAGACACAGGTTGCAGAGCACGTTGTTATAGGAACAATGTTTCGCTCAGTGTAGAGCATTATCAATTCATGATTTGCTCTCTGCAGAGCTTTATAAAGTTACGTCTTGCTAAAGCTCTTCTGCAAGGTATCTCTTCTTCAGTATGTGCAGCTATATGTAGTTATGTCGCTGTGTAGCTCTATGCAATAGTATTACTGTGTGGATGTATATAGCTCTAAAATTATAAGTTCCTTGGCTTCAAGTCAGGTTACAGGTGACGAGTTTAGTGTTGACGTTGTCACTCTTGAGAACGTGCGTTGTACGTTTTTTCTGCACTCCGCGATGAAGTGAAGAGGAAAGTGCTTAGTTGAAAGCTTGTGTAATGAATTCACATTCCTGCTTGCACAAAAGATTACTTCTAATTGCATATTTTAGAACATGCAGTTTCACTGAGTTCTGAACGTATTGTCAACAAAACCTGCAATTCTTGTCAGCAATGCCTGCGTAAGTAACCTACTTGTCGGCACTTTCGTCAAACTCTGTGCAAAGGGGCAGTGCCAGTACTCATGTAATGACAGTATGAGGGTTTTCTTTAAAATAGCAGAATACCGGAGAAGAGTAAACACCGTCTGTTTAGAATTGTTAAAAGGTGCAGTAAATCTGAGCAACACTGAAGTAATTTTACCACTCATAATTAGAGATACTTACGGGATCCCTAGCGAGGATTTATACGGGATATCCCTGAATGGTTCCGCAAGAATCTTTGTGAAATTTGTGTCGCCTGATATCTACGAGAGGGTTGTGGATACGTATCAAGAACGGCGTCTAGTCATCAACGCTAGCCTGGAGGTGCGCCTACGGGATGTATCAGCCCATTATTCATGGGTTTGCCTTCGTAATATACCATTCGAAGCGAACGAAGTGGATGTACGACGGACGTTTGGATGCTATGGTACTATACATGCTGTACACGTGGGGCGATGGTCCCAAGGATTTTATGCTGGTATGTTGGAGGGGTCATTTTCCCTGAAAATGACTTTGAGGCATCCTATACCCTCGCATGTGACGTTGGAGGCGTTCAGGACGCAAATTTACGTCACCTACCCAGGGCAGGTACGGACGTGCCGTCTGTGTGGTGGCCCTGGACATATGGCCGCAACATGCGAGCGACAAAAGGAGCGGCAGAGGACAGAACAACCTGAGGCTGCATCTAGTGTCGTGATGGACGAGCGTGTGCAATCCCCGAAGGAGGCCATATCGGTGGTGGATAATGTCCTGCAGGTTCCACCTGAAAATGGGAAGTGGAGTGAAGTGGTGGAGGCCGCGGAGGAGATTGTCTCAATGTTGCCGCCGGCATCAAAGGACAATCAAGTTGGTGGTGTTGAGGGTGCGACACCTCTGGTGAAAGAGGTGGTGATACCACCTTCAGTGTTGCCCAGTTTTGAGGACATTCAGAGGCTCCTCGATAGCCCGTCGCTGGTGGATTTACTGTCTATGACAGTGACTTCACCTGTGGTGGAGACTGTTATTGAGTGTAGTGTCGGTGCAGAAGGAAGGTGTGTGCCTCATAAGTCAGTGGTAGAGGCGGACGTAAAGGTGCACAGGGAAGATGGTGATGGGGACATGGATTACGAGGTGTCTTCCCATATGAGGCCCAGTGCACCCGTGGAGGATGATGCATTGACTCCGGGACAAAGGTCATGCAAGATGGCTTGGGCAGATGTGGCCAAAGGTGACAAGGGCACTCCCATGGGAAAGTTAGGTGGGAGTGGTGGGAAGTCAGCTAGGAGCACTAGTGGAAAGTCCAGGTCAGATTTGACAGCGACAGGGAAACAAAATGGTAAGACCCAGCCGTTGTCTTCAAGTGTATTACAATAAATGTTAACGGCCTCAGGACAGAGGTCAAGAGGCGATGGGTGGAGGTCTCACTACGACGTTTGGACGTTGATGTGTTCTTTATACAGGAGCACAATTTTAGGTGTGGAAGTGAGTTGCGTGTGCAAGGGTATACATGTTACGCGGGGAACTCGGACAAAATCAAAGGTGGGGTTGTGGTAAAAATAAGGGAGACCAGCCCTTTTACGTTGTTGGCGTGGGAATGGGGCGGATGGGGGACGGGTCGTGCGTGTTGTGGGAACATGGGGGCACATACAGGTAGGTTTTGTAGGTGTGTATATGCTAACGACATCCAACAGACGGGTGAAGGAGGATTTTGTGTGTGAACATTTAGTATATTTTCTAAGGGGACTACCACTAGTTTCCATGATTGCCAGAGATTAGAATTGTGTTATCAGGGAAAAGGATGTAGAGCCAAGAGGAAGGGGGTGTAATTTAGGGATTTTACGGGAGGTTCTGTGGGCGATAGGTGTTGTTGACGTGGTAGGGGGTTGAGGGTGGAATGTAGAATACACTTTTTGTCGAAGAGGGTATGCCGCGCGTTTGGACAGGGTTTATATCACTGGTCTAATACGCAGTGGGAGGGTAGACTGCGTGGATCTGGGATTCTCAGATCACCGGGGCGTGCTGGTGGCTCTTGAATGGGAAGGTGCTGTTCAGGTCTTCCCTAGTTACTGGAAATTAAATGTTAGGTTGTTGAAGGGTTTAGAACTTTAGAGGCTTTGGCAACTTTTGGGTTATGGTGGGATAGGTTGTGGGATGGAGGAAAAGGAATTGAGAATGTAGTGGATTGGTGGAATTTACAAGCGAAGTAGGTTAGGGAGGGAAGATGCATCCTACAGATACAGAAAGCAGAGGTATCTTGAGGGTCTGCTGCGAGATTGTTATGTTGTGGGAGGGAGGTATGATCATGAGGAAATAGTGTGTCTTAGGAGTCAATTACAAGATATTCAGAATGAGAACTTTCAGGCGTTGAGGGTGCGGGCAGGGACTGAGGAGGTGCTATGGGGGAATAAGCCCTCTGTCAGGGTTCTTCGAAGTTTCAGGTTGCAACAAAAGGCGATGATGGTGATGTCTTTAGTGGTCGATGATGACTGGGCAGGATACTGTAAGGGACAAATGCTCTGTACTACTGAAAGTATGAGGAGCTATGCGGATAAATGGTTTGAAAAGAAATGGATTGGTAGAGAGGGGAATCGGGAGGCGAGGGAGGCCTTACTGCATGATATGGTGGCGAACGTGAGGGACGTGGATAGAGTGGTCGTGGAGGGTTGTATAACTGAGGAGGAGGTTTCCCAGGCCATTCGGGGTTAGGCAATGGGGAAATCGCCTGGATGGGGTGGAATTCCGTGGGATTTTTATGTAGTACATTGGGACAAATTAAAACATGTTCTGGTCCGCCTATACAACGCTATGAAAGATGAAGGTAGAATGGGTGGGGAGGTGGGGCTAGGGATTGTGTTGTTGGTGCCGAAGGTGAATCTCCACAGAATTCTAGGTGAATTTAGGCCCATCATGTTGTTAGGAGTGGATTACAAAATTTTTGTAAGAATTTTGGCCAACCGTATGAAACGGGTTTTGGATAAGGTGATATGGGAACGGCAATACATGTATGGGATTCCTGGGCAGTCTATGAGGGATGGCCATCGTAGAATTAAAAGTTTTGTGGAGGAAAGTCACGGGGGTGGAGTAGTAGGGTTAGACTGGGAAAAGGCTTATGATAATGTGGATAGGGAGACTTTATTGAAGCAGGGTTTTGGGAAGGAAGTGGTGGCATGGGTGCGTATGCTATATACCGATGCGAAGGTACGGGTACAGGTGAATGGGAGAATAAGGTCCGCAACAGGCATGGGGTGGGGGCTGCGGCAAGGGTGTCTCCTCTCGCAGCTCTTGTTTGCCTGTTTGCAGGGCCTCTTTTATAGGTTAGTAAGTGGTGGAGTGGGGGAGGGGGTTTGTGGGCAGGGTGTAGAGGTGGGCATCATAGGCAATGTAGATGATACCACCATACTGGTGCGTAGTAGGGAAGGTTTGGAATTCATTAATAGGGTTATAGGTTTTTTTGGCGATGAGTCAGGTATGCGTGTTAATAGGGAGAAATCAAAATTCTTGGAGGTGGGGTCCTGGGTAGGGGGGACGTTGGGTAGGGAATATGGGTGGAAAAACTGTTGAGAGACTCAAAATATGTGGAGTATATTTTTGCAATGATGAAAGGTCTGCCCGCACAATTAATTCGTCTTTCATGGTAGATGCGGCCATTCGAAGAATGGCGGGATGGCAACCGGGTGAAGTGACGCTGCTCCAAAGGGTAATCGTCGTTAACGTCCTAGTATACAGCAAATTATGGTTTGTTACAGCAGTTAATTCTTTGATCGCAGATGATGTACTGAGGTTGCAGAGAAAAGCTTTGAATTTTATATGGGGATTCAGTCGGCATTGGTTGGGGAAGGATGTTGTCATGACAAAAGTAGCTAAGGGAGGTATGGGGTTAATACCGTTGCACAGGCGTTTAATAGGCATTTATGTACGACAGGAATATCTGGTGCAGGGTGGTGTTAGGGGGGCGAGGGTTGATGCAGTAATGAGAGAAGTTAGATGGTGGTGGGTGGGAAAGGATTTAATATTGTGTGAAGCGATGTTGCGGCATCTATTGGTAGCGCAAGAACCCAAGAGGGTGAAGGTATGTAAACTGGATAACATTGGCCTGTCCATGGGAGAGGTTATTGGTGAGGAGGTTTTTTCCTGGTTACCAATGGAAGACCATTTGGTATTGGTTCAGGAGATTGCGTTTGCACCCTCGGGTCCGAGAAACTGGGAACCGTTTCCTCAATGGAATACTAGCATCTAAGGCACAATTGTATGTTATGGGCCTGACTCAGGATCAGATCTGTGTACGGCATTCCAAGTCGTATACTTTTATGAAGGTTTAAGTAGGGTGAGAGAATAGTTTCAGGGTGTTTTACGACAGGTGGGAGGAGGGAGGTTGTCAATGCTTAGAGTATTAAGTCTAGAAGTATGGGGTTGTTCTGATGTGGTCTGACGATCGGTTTCGTACTTGGTGCTCGACTATTTGTACGTTTCATGGGAAATACGGGAGATTAGGAGTGTGACGTGCATCAGGGCGCTGGCGTGTCGTTTTTACAGAACAAAATTTAGAAATCGAGAGGTGTATGGACAATGCTGGGAGAGAGACTTTTCTTTGGGATATCGAAACCTAACGATGGAGGTATTAAAGGGGTTATGACATCTATAGTGAGTTGTTAGGTTACAAGATGGAGCGGGTGGGTTGGTCTCTGGGGGGAGGGATAAGTTATAGTGTATGAGGTGTACTAGTGAATAGGTGCACATGTGTGCGGGGGTGTGGCCTTGGGTGTGGGGGGGGTGACCTGTATGAGGTCCGGGGTATGTTTTCTGGGTGTGGTTGATGACTCGGACTGGAAGGGGGGGGGGCATACAGGGACTCAGTGCTTGGTTTTATCATTTCAGCAGACCTGTGGGTATTCCACTGTCAAGTCAGCCTGTTTCAGCAAGGAGACCGGTCATATTATTAGTATATAGTGTGGCATGAGAGCTAGATACTCAAACTGGGCTATTAAGTCCGGAGAGTTTCATCATATATCTATGCTGTCATGTAGTCAAATGGAAAGTCATGTTTATGTATTAATTCATGTCCTTTGGTTGTGTGGATAGTAGTGTTAGGAGGGTATAGTGTTATTATGCTTGGACTGGATTTGTACCTGTTGACAAAACGATGTCATGTTACCATAAAAGTTGGAATTCTCAACTGTAATCGAGTTGCGTAATATTCTATGTATTGTGTCAAAAGATACGTTTATGTATGTTATTATTATATGTTTAAATAAATGATTTTAGGATACTTTTGCATGAGGAGGCCGGGAAGAGGGGTACAAAATGCAGACTGAATCCTTAACTTTTAATTGTACTTGTGTAACACTGCACTTGGCTGAGAGTATGGGTTGTAGGGATAGTCTTTTTAGTTTTAATTATGATTTTTTTAAACTGCATTTTGTGTAGTGTAAATGTTTGATGTCCTGCTACAAGTTTCATTATTACATATTGCCATATGTATCTGATTATGTATCTCTGTACACTGAAGTTTTTAAATATAATATAAAAAAAAAGACTATCTTAATGGGGTAGAATTAATTTGGCTAGAACTTCCAAAATAATGAAGGTGCCAATGTTGAGGGAGAATGCTGGTGGTATGTGGACATGTTCACACTATGGAGAATATAGTGTAGTTTACAGTAATGTAAGAATATTTACAGTAAGATGTGAATACTTACAGCAATGTGAGAATACTTACAGTAAGGTGAGAATACTAACTGGTATGAAGCAGGGTTCAGCATGCTCAGGGTGCTGCGTATTCAGTATGTAAGTGTACAAGGTGAGTATACTCACAGTGTAGTTGTACAAGACTGTACACTTGGGGTAAGCGGTCTGGTCCTCCGGCGGTCCGTTGGACATGGGTGGGAGGGGAGAGGCGGGGGCGTCACCCCAGTCCACACTGATGGGGTCCCACGAAGTTGGTTCAAGTTTTCCTGAGGGAGAGGATGAAGGGAATGAATAAATAAATTGATAGGAGTGGCATGAATGGAAAGAAGTAATGATAATATTATATAACGCTGTACCTGTGCACCACAGGGAAGCGTTCTTGGCCCCTCCCCCTTTCCTTGTATACATCAATGACCTTCCAAGTGTATCGCAACAACTATGCCTATTCTCTTTGCTGATGACATGACTCTTGTCATCTCCCACCCTAATCTAGCCTTACTCAATACTACTGTTAATGAAGAGCTCGTTAAATAGTAAACCTGGATGACTGTCAATAAACTTATACTTAAAATAGACAAACCCTTTTACATTATGTTTGGGAGTAGAGCAAGTGATGTCCAACTAAACATTATGCAACAACCTGAAATTCAATTCCCATATCCAACACATAACAAAACAAAATACTGCAGCAGGCCTGTTGGCCCATACTAGGCAGGCCCTTTGCAATTCATCCCACTAACAAAACATTTGCCCAACCCAATTTTCAATGCTACCCAAGAAATTGTCGGTATTATATACCATTCTTGCACAACCAAGAAATAAGCCCTGATATGCAAGTCCCACTCAAATCCAACCCCTCTCACTCATGCATTTATCCAACCTCTCCTCCTTATGGAGGGGGATTCCCCTTCCAAACAATAACCTCTCTTCCCTCTCTCCTCCTCCCTGTCTTCCATTCTTCAACAACAGCCTTCAATAAAGGTAACTGTCATGTTGAATGTTCATTCTTTTGTGCATGTAAATCTATCTTTAAGGTAAAAAAAAAATTGTTGTTGATACTTCTGGGTGTCAGGAACGGATTAATTGTATTTACATTATTTCTTATGGGGAAAAATTGATTCGAAAATCGTAGATTTCGATAATAGTAGCACCTCCAGGAACGGATTAATTACGAAAAACGAGGGACCCCTGTACAAGGATACAATATGAGAATGAAGAACTACATACAAAAGTGTACTAAGGTGGTAGAATTACCGACAATATGTTAGGTAAAAGGACACAGGTGCAACTAATGTGGCATTCTATTGTGACGACGTTTCACTTTCCAGGAGCTTTGTCAAGCCATTACCTCCACTAGTATTACAACTACCATGCCTCACTCAAAACCTATATATACCCTCTGTATCCATGTATTGTTTGTAATGGCTTAACAAAGCTTCTGGAGAGAGAAACATTGCCACAATAAAATGTCACATTAGTTGCACTTGTGTTCTATTACCTAACATATATACAAAAGATGAGGTAATCAGGCTCTCAGCTTTGGAGCTGGTGAAGAGCACTGTAGTCTTGAAGAATGTGTATCACAGGTTGAAAGGCTGGCGCTTATATACTGGCGTCAGGTGAGGGACGTGCAGTAGACAAAGGCATTATCACGAATAGGTATTCCCTGCCAAGTACATGTAGCAAGGTGGCAATTTGTGCTTACAAATTGCCCAAACTATTCAGGAATAAAAGAATTTAGTCAAGGATGGAAGATCCTGTAAGAGCCAAGGTTACAGCATGGAAGTCAACTGTGAACCGAAGGCCCGATCGTGAACTGAAATTTGCAACAGCAGGTACACAGAGTGCAAATGTAAAGCGCCTCTAGAGCAGGATGAGTATGTAGCATACAATATGTGAATCGAAAATGTGTGCCGTCACCACTGACAACAATGAAACCAGAAGCAGCGGATACAGAAAATGGAAGTCTGTCCAAACCTGGGGTAAAACATATACGGACAGTGTGGTAAAAAAAGAATTTATTCTAATCGAAACAGGTGACCAAATGAAACTGAGAACCTGCGAAAAGTCTCAGGTTGATACTAAAGGAAGAGCTCCTGTGTCTGTAAGAAGGAAATAAACAAGGCATCCTTCTGGGAGTAAAAAAAGGTTTAAGAGTCCATAACTAGTGTTATGGAGGTTAGACTGACAGATTGTTTTCATTTATTCATTCACGGAACCCAACAGCAAAAATACAATCATACTAATAACATATCATATATCCATACATAACTATTCAATTTACATGTTGCATGTCTATAAGACCCACCAGGCCTATTACTTCCCTAAGGTATACTGGCCTATGTGAACCATAAAATCTCTTTAGGTAGAAATCTGTTATAGCGTGCAATATAGCAGCAGCCTTGAGCTCTAATCACCCGTTCATTACCTGGGATCCCAACATGTGTTGGGTTAACACTAGGTGGGGTGGTCACTCTTCCACATTACCCTACCCAGCCACCCCACCCACCTACCCTACCCTTTTACTCTATTCTGTCACTAACCCCACACAACCCCACCCTGCCACCCCCACCAACACTATCCAACCATGTCTCTCATCCCACACCCCAACCAACGCTACCCCTCCTGCAACCCTTCTCCTCCCACACTACCCCACACTACCACCCCAAACACACTACTCTACTCCCCTGTTACACCACCAACACTACCCTATCAACACTATACCTGCCACTCCACCGACACTACCCCGCCTAGCCACTCCTCCCTCACCATCATCTCACTATAAACTCTGCACTCACTCACCTTGTCACACCACTCACACAACTACACACACTTATCACCTACCGGAATCCTGTGACTGTGTATAGTCCTCCTTCTCCGAGTCTACGGAGATGGGCTCAGCTGCCGAGGCGCTGGTGACTGTGTCTGTCTCTGCCTGGTCCCCGTCGTAGTCCGCCACACCAGCCTCCATCTGTGGGCCAGACTGCAGGTCAGGACACTGTGGCGTGACCAAACTCAAGAAATGCTTGAAACACTGAGATAGTCAGCAGGGTATAGCAACAATGGAATATTGACACTGACAAGATATGGAAAAAGACACTTTGGTACAGTTCAGGGCATTTATTAGAGAAAACATTTCGCCACTAGTGTATACACAAGCAGGAGTCTGGTAGAAAGCAGCGAGAGGGTTGTGCAAGAAAGGTATACAATACCGACAACATGAAAGTTAAGACACATGGCGAAAAGTCTACAATAAAGACAACCAAATGTTGCACATGTGTCTTAACTATAGCGAGAGGGTTGTAGAAGCTAACTGTGGTGAGATGGGTTGGGTTGGAGAAGTACCTGTCAAAAACATGTTACAGCAGTCTCTAGAATGGGAAATATTCTGTTGATCAACAATTCGGATATAGTGTAACTACCAGATTTTTGGTGGAGAATAAGACATATTTACACACTTCAACACTCTGGTGTCATTATTGCCCAAATTATCGCCTGCACAACAGACTTCTTCAGTCGAATAAAGGCGAGTACCCAAGTGTTAAATATGTGTTTTATTATTAAAGAATATGATAGTAACGCACGAGTTGAGATGACTGAAAAAGTTTGGGGAGTTCGTTAGCAGAACGTGGGTAGGGCTGGCGTGGTTTTTACTATATCTTAAGAACATAAGAATGGAGGAACACTGCCTACCGGCTCATACTAGGCAAAACCAACTATTACCACCCACCTAATTGTCTAACCTTTTTCCAAAGCTACTTAAGAATTTTCTTTTTAAAGCTATCCAAGGTTTTGGCTTCTATGACCCTACTCAGCAGATTGTTACACTTATCGATAACTGTTTCACAACCAGTACTTTCCTACGTCCTTTTTAAATCAAAATTTATCTAATATAAATGCGTTATTTCTAGTTCATATTAATTCGACATTCTCGGTACTTTATTTGTATCGCCTTTGTTCATGCCTGCCTTCCACGTACAGGCTCCAATGATATCTCCCTCATTCTATGTCTCTCAAGAAAGTGAAGGTCCAGAATTCTTAATCTATCCTCATATAAGAAGTTCCTTATACTATCTGAATACCTTTCTGTCAATTTTCCTCATAACTCTGGTAAGACTTACGTAGAGTGATACCAATATAGTTCTTAAACTGACACCGTCACAGCTACACGCTTACAATGTTCCAATGGTAGTCTTCTCCCAGTCATTTGGTACAATGCTAACACTCTCCCAGTCATCTGGTAATAATAATAATAATAATAATATAATAATAATAATAATAATAATAATAATAATAATTATTATTATTTCAACAAGTACATACATGGACAAGATATACAGTCCTAGCTGACATCAGTGACACTACTATACAGAAAGCCCCTATTATGCAGAGAATTTCTGGCAAATTAGGTTAATTTTGTTCCCAGGATGCAACATCCTGGTGAGTGTAACACACTCCCTGGTGAGTGTAACACACTCCCTGGTGAGTGTAACACACCCTGGTTAGTGTAACACACACCCTGGTGAGTGTAACACACATCCTGGTGAGTGTAACACACCCTGGTGAGTGTAACACACCATGGTGAGTGTAACACACACCCTGGTGAGTGTAACACACACCCTGGTGAGTGTAACACACACCCTGGTGAGTGTAACACACCCTGGTGAGTGTAACACACCCTGGTGAGTGTAACACTCACCCTGGTGAGTGTAACACTCACCCTGGTGAGTGTAACACATCATGATGAGCGTAACACACCATGGTGAGTGTAACACACCATGGTGAGTGTAACACACCATGGTGAGTGTAACACACCATGGTGAGTATAACACACTCTCGTGATTGTAACACACACCCTGGTGAGTGTAACACACCATGGTGAGTGTAACACACCATAGTGAGTGTAACACACACCCTGGTGAGTGTAACACACCCGGTGAGTGTAACACACCATGGTGAGTGTAACACACTCTGTGATTGAAACCACACCCGGGTGATGTAACACCCCCCTGTGAGGTAACACACCGGGGTGAGTGTAACACACACCCTGGGAGTGTAACACACTGGGATGTAACACACCCCTGGGAGTGTAACACACCATGGGAGTGTAAACACACCCTGGGAGTGTAACACACCATGGTGAGTGTAAACACCCCCGGTGAGTGAAACATCATGGTGAGTGACACACCCGGGTGATTGTAACACACACCCTTGTGGTGTAACACCCCCTGGGGTGTAAAAACCCCATGGGAGTGTAACAACACCCTGGTGATGAAACACCTGGTGAGTGTAACACTCACCCTGGTGAGTGTAAAAAAACCTGGTGAGTGTAACACTCACCATGGTGATTAACACATCAGGGGAGTGTAACACACCCGGGTGTTTGTAAACACCCCTGGTGATGTAACACCCACAGGGGGGTTTAACACACCATGGTGAGTGTAACACACACCTGTGAGTGTAAACCCCAAAGGAGTGTAAAAACCCCCTGGTGATTGTAACCCACCCTGGGATGTAACAACCAGGGGTGATGTAACCAAAACGTGAGGTAAACACCCTGGGGGAGTTAACACCATCCTGGTAGTGGGGGTGAGGTAACACCCCATGGTGAGTGAACCCCCACACCCATTGAGTGTAACACACACCCGGTGATGTAACACACCCTGGGGATTAACACACCATGATGGTAACACCCCTGGTGTTTTATAACACCACCCTGGTGAATGAAACACACCCTGGTGAGTGAACATACCGGGTGAGTGTAACACACCCTGGTGAGTGTAACACACCTGTGAGTGAAAACACACCCCTGGTGATTGTAACATACACCCTGGGGTGTAACCCCCTGGTGATTTAACCACCTGGTGAATTAAAACCCATGGTGGTTTAAAACCCCCTGGTGGTGGAACACACTGGTGATGAAAACACACCCCCTGTGGTGCAACACAACCCGGTAAAGTAACACCCCGGAAAATCTATCTTTAAACAGCTAAACAAGAAAGAAAACCGTCAGTCCCTCTGTTTACAAAGTCTTTTAAAACTGTCAACAGAGATCATCCCAAGCGTCAAAGGTGCAGTAAGACTCAAACAAAATTTACTAGAATTCCCCTAACACCGGGCCCTCACACGAAATTCACACAAATCAAACAGCAAGGTTCATCGCCACTATGTCACTAGTTTGTTAACTCCATATAGTTTTTGTTTTCGTTTATTTCTACTAGTAGTTTTTTTTTTGTTTTTGATTTTTTTTTTTCATGTGGTGTTATTTTTACGCAAGAATGTTTAATTATTTACAAGGGTTAATGGGTTTTTATTTTTCAAAAGCAACTGTTCCTTTAGTAAAAAAAAAAATGTGCTGACTTCGCCTAATTGACGCGTTTAAAACTAATGGGCACGATTTCAAACTTGCTTTCCTAGTTTTAACCCCCCCGCCGTTTTAGGTTTACTAACCCGGTCAGACCTGACAACCTACATGACCTTGTTGAGGACACAGGCAGCGAGGTGACCTGAGCTAAGAACCAGGAGGGGTAGTGAACTGACCTCTTCCCTGACGGAGAGCATGGAGCCAGAGCGGCTGAGGGAGGTGTCCAGGTCCACACCTAAACTGTCGCTGTCCACACTCTTCGTGTAGTCCTCCACCTCAACTGTCAAACATTGAGGACGCATTAGTCATTTCTTTATATTGTAATCCGAATAGAGAGACAATTTATGCAAGTATAAAAAAATATCCTGAAAAAAAAATAGCGAAACAAAATAATGAAGACTTTTTATCCTTTTTAACAAAATAATCTCCCTCTGTCTTCTGTTTGACCCCTGTTAGGCAGTTATATGTATCACAACCATTTACTTTAATTCAAAGTTAAGTGAATTAAGTACTACTGACGCTAGTATAGTCACTAGACACTAAACTTAACAAACTAAGGCACGATCTTCTAATATCTGAATCCTGCTGGTGATCTGAAAAATACCAGCTACATTTTATATGTTTAATTGTCTAATATAGTCTGGAAAACGCATTTTTCACTCATTATGGACACTCCTGTGTGGTTAGAGGCTTTCCTGTCTCTTGTTTTTAATACCAGTACAACAGTTGATACCTTACAAATGTCTGACTCATCACCTGTCAATACCGACTTGTTATATACAGTATGCGCAAGAGTTGGCTTGCACAGTGTCAGCGTCTTTTAGTGTTTGTGATGATCTTCCATGCAGTCCTGAAGCCTTCCATGTGTCAAGGTTCATAGGAAGTCGCTTTTCTTATGTGTTGATTCATTTGTTCTCCCTTCTGTCTCCAGTACTGACATTTGGCCTTTTTACGCAGCTGACTTTACAAAACAAGAGGTGTTATCTTGCCTTAGTCCATTTCAAAGTCTTTCCCTATCTAACATAGACTACGATGCTCATTCCTCCGCCAAGACATGACCCATGACAGTTAATTAACATCCAGGTATCAATTTACTGCTAGGTGAACAAGGGTAACAGGAGTAAGGAAACTCACCCATACGCCTCAGACTATCTGGAATTGAACCCAAGCCCCTTCAGTTATAAGCAGTGTTCTGCAGACCTACTGGAGGTCTTCTGTAAACACACTGTGAACTCTTAGCTGGAGTTCACCTTACTTTCTTGTCTTTTCCTGTAACTTTTTTCCTTTCGTTTCTCTGCCGTAATTATGAAGCAGCTTTATTTTCTTTGTTTGGCTACATAGTTTATTAAAATTTTTGTCTGCTTCCCACTTTAACTGTACTATTTTCCCAATTTCCCGGAGGGAGAAAGGGCGCAAGCGCTGGAACATGTGTAGACTTACTTCCGCCTTCCTTCATCACCTCCAGCTTGGCCTCAGCTTTAGCTTTCCTTGTCTCAGCCTTCCTGATGATGTTCCTCAGCTCGTCCAGCTTGATCTCCACGTCCGGTGGCAGGTCCGTCTCCGGACGCCCTCCCACCCCCAGCTTCTGGATCTTTTTCGACGCCTCACGAATCACCTAAAAGGAATAGTTAAGATATTTTAATAATTTGTCGAAGATCTAAGAGAATGTTTAAGCTCTAGTATTAGTTTCATTTATTGACTACGACTCCAATGAAAATAAATCATACTATTTGATTTTATCAATTTACTATAAGTTCAATACACATAATTTGTCACTAATATATGTCTACATACACACACACATACATTGTACAAATTTATTGTAATGTTTATTTCGCCGTTTTGAAACACGTAAATATATTATCTTTTCAAACAGAAAGGCTCCAATATCAAATAGCATCAGATAATTTAAAATATCTATTGTTTATGTCCTCCAATACTTGCTAAGGGATACTTCTTATATACTCAACAATAAGCAAGACTTTCAGTTCACTGGTTATGTATGTACAAGTTATATTTCCTGGGGATAACTTATGACAATATGATTACCATCAGTCCTCATCTGCTTCTAACTAGAAGACTGCTTCAGTTGTTTAATATTTTTCATACCTTGGTTTCTTGTCCACAGGGTGCCATTTCTACTCTAACAACAATCTGGTCTTGAAAACTTACAACCTAGCTTCATATTAACCTGAGGACTTCTGTCCCCACTGGAGGCAAGTGGTTTTTATGGTATGATGTGTTGCTGGAGCATGAACAAAGTAACATTTATGAAAGGATTCATGGAAAACGACGAGGCGGACATGAGTTCTGGAGGTGGGAAGTACATGCCAGCACGCTGGAGGAGGGGCGGGGATGCTGCAGTTCTGAGGGTTGTCATACCAGTCATTTCAACACACATCTGGGAAGACAGTGATTGAAGGACGGTGAAGATGTTCCTTTTCGGGTCACCCTACCTTAATGGGAGACTGCCGGTGTTTTAAGAAAAAAAGTCTGTCATCATCAGTCTTGCCTTAACTTACTACTTATCTTACCTATTTGTTCAGAGAACAGTGTCCCTACTCTTGCTGTTTTAACCTAATACCTACCTTAACTTCTTTCTGCACTGTTGCCACACACTTTTTACTTTCAGATTCCAGAATGTTTTGGGTGGTCTCGTCGTGGATGGTAATCTTGTCGATCTGGTCACTCTCGCAAGGCTCGAATTCATACTGGATGTTCTGACCCAACATAGGATAGAAGGTCAAGTAGCAGCGAAGATTGTAGCCACGAGTGACCTGAGGACAGAGAGAAGTGCAGACTGTGTCAAGCTTCTGAAGGAGGTAGGGTTCCTTTCCCATGAATATATACTGTATAAGTACTCTGATGCCCAGCCTTGCCGGGGCTGTACTTGCCCTTAACAAGGACAAGATGCCTTAGTTAACATTTGTTTCCAACAAATGATAGAGTGAAACTTAACAACGTGTAAGCACAATAAAGTTTCAGTACTGGACCACAAGTGTCAAAAATTAAATACTATATGAACAATTTAAAAAACTACTGCGTACCAGTCATAGTTTAAAGAAACACTAAAGCAACGTGCTAGAAATTTTAGTTGTAATGAATGAGAAAATTAATAAATTACGGTTCTTACATAATGGGTGTTAAATTTACATCACTGAAAGAGTTACTACACCAAAACTGCATTCTATAAAAAATATGCGGAAAATATAATAAAATATGAAGCCAAATATTATTGAGGCAAAAGTCTCTTGAATAAATATTTTAAAAGGATAATTTTTCTCTAATAATTAAAAGTGAGTGCGTAGGATTCTGGTCAGGATAACCCGGAAAATATCGCTCAGTGGGAAGCCAAGATCACACCATGACTCTAGGTTGATGGAGGCACCAGCACCAATGTGACCCCAGTATGTGTCCCTCTAGCAGTGACCCCAGTGTGCCAACCTCGACCAGCAACTGACTTCAGTGTGCAACCCGTGACCAGTAACTGACCCCCAGTGTGCCACCCTCGACCAGTAACTGACCCCCAGTGTGCCACCCTCGACCAGTAACTGACCCCCAGTGTGCAACCCGTGACCAGTAACTGACCCCCAGTGTGCCACCCTCGACCAGTAACTGACCCCAGTGTGGTCACACAAAGCGATCACAATATGGAACCCACAATCAGCAATCGTGCAAAACCCAACAATCATTAACTGCCTGTAGAACATCACTATATTCCAGCATGAAGCTGAGTCAAATAGGTGAGATACATCGACCTGCCAGCAAGTTTCCATCTCTTACTCATGAAACAAGTCGTGGGTATGACCTGGAATGTCATACCCTGACAAGAAAAGCAATATCCGCTGTATACCCAGAGCGAGTATGCTAGCAGTTTGTATTAATGTTTGTAGAATTACTGACGATATGTTAGGTAAGAGGACACAAGTGCAACTAATGTGACATTTTATTGTGGCAACGTTTCGCTCTCCAGGAGTTTTGTCAAGCCGTTACAACTGAGTTTAATCTTCTGTTGGAGGTTAGCTGAGAATATGTTCAGCAGTGTGGCGGTCAATCTAAAGACTGACCCTCATCTTCTTTGCAGTTTCAAAGGATTCCTTAGTGATGTTTGAAGGTTCTTCGGCACGTTCAGTTAAGTAAGCTTGGGTAGCTAGAGAGAAAGGGTGTCTGGAGTTGGAGAGTTGTCTAGGAGTAGACTTAGGGATCACCTCGGCCAGGTAATCTTGCAGGAAGTTATGTCTGTTGCGAAAGCTGTGAGCAAGAAGAAGGGTGTCCAAATAACGTCTGCATGAAATGTCCATTATGCTGCGGTGTCCGACAGATTGTATTAATGTTGGTAGAATTACCGCCAATATGTTAGGTAAAAGGACACAAGTGCAACTAAGGTGAAATTTTACTGTGGCAACGGCTTGACAAAGCTCCTGGAGAGCGAAACGTTGCCAAAATAAAATGCCATATTAGTTGCACTTGTGTCCTTTTACCTAACATGGTAACAGTTGTTTAGCGACTAGGTGGATCATCTGGTGGATATGTAGGAGACAATTTTCCTGTCCAAATATACACCATCACCACCTACCCCTGTGATTTTCCTTGTTTACTAGGAGACAAAGGCATGGGCACTAATTATTTCATAAAAAAAAGCCCAAGCATAGACACAATGAGGTGTTGAAAGAGTCGACCCTTTTCTGTCACAGAGATATGATATTTCTCACCACTTGGATAGATGTTTCCGAAATACCTTTGATTGTACCACAAAAGCTAACTTTAAACTGAATTAGATACTATCGTTTCTTTATTTAGATAGATAGGATGGTGCGATAACCAGTATCAGAGAAATCAAACTGTTGTGTAACAGAAAGATGAAAGTATTACAATACACATATAATACACACATAGGAAAATGTACAGATAACCCGCACAAAGGAGAGAGAAAAGCTTACGATAACGTTTCGGTTCGACTTGGACTATTTACAAAATCACATTAACACAAAAGAGTGAGGGAGCCAGTATACATAGCGAGGGGACAGGGACGGGACCAAGAGAGGAAGAAAAAGTAGTAGTGGTAATGGTATGGCTGGCATTACCACTACCAATACTTCTTTTCCTTCTTCTCTTGGTCCCGTCCCTGTCCTCCTGGCCTATATATACTGGTTCTTTAACGTCCTCATGAGTTTCATTCTCCTATGTGTGGGTTATCTGTGTATTGTTCCAGCCTTTTTATTCAAAAATATTACGAGAAGGATGATAAGTGGTAAGAGAGTGTAGGTGGCGGGGAGCAGAGGTACTGTGACTCACGGTAGTGGCTTGTTCTTTGATCTTGTTGAAGGAGGACTGGGAGGCCGAGCAGGTGAGCAGCTCTGCTCGGCTCATCAACGTCAGGTACTCTGACACTTTATCGTACATCTCACACTCCATCGTCTGAAACACCAACAACATAAGTTAGTCAAATATTTTTTATTGTGAACCCCATACCCACTCAGTGGGCGATAGCCAAAAAAAGATTAGAGATGCATAATGGGTCCAGAGACTGGGCTCCAAAATTTTAATATCAAATTTACAGTGGTAACGAACTATTTACGCAGAGAAAACTGTGCCTCTCACTACTACCTGCAAGAATCAACAGTATTAACGTAATGAACATCACACGACCATTAGACATTTTTAATATTCAATAACAAACTCATCATCAATAAGACACCACAAGACAGAATATTTTTTTACAGGACCTGATGGCCAAGAGTAATTTACGCAAGTGAGTCAGGAAGAGCGGAGGCTGCAAGACTTACCCGGAGGAATCTCTCGAAGTCGATCTCGTAGTATCGTCTCTGGTGAGCGTTGGCCGCCGCCAGACTGATGATGTAGTCGTTACGGGCTCCAGCAGACTTCTCGTCACACACATCCCGTTTCGCTGAGAACTGTAACACACACACCAGTTTCTGCTCAGATGAGGTTCTCTTGGACTCTTGGTGCTAAACTTCTGCTAGTTTACACAGGCTAGTTTCTCTGGGTTAAAAAGGCTAATTATCCATTAGGTCATTCAGGTTTACGTATCATTAGGTTACATACGCTATAACTATGTTAACCATAGTCAAGTTCACCTAGGTTACACATGCTAAGACAATGATTTTTCAACCTTTTTTCAGTGATGGTACCAGCCTCAAGTCTCGGATCTTATTCTGTGGCAACCATAGTCAATTTTCTATTACAACTGCTTCCCAAGAAAACTTGTCTTAATAATAATAATAAAACATACAAATACCCGGAGAGGGTTTGAGGGGGTTAACATCCCCACGGCCCGGTCTGAGACCAGGCCTCCTGGTGGATCAGGGTCTGATCAACCAGGCTGTTACTGCTGTCCACACGCAAACCACACGCCATTTGCTGGACCAGCAAATGGCTCCCGGAGTTCAGCCCCGCCAAGTGCAAAGTTATGAAGATTGGAGAAGGGCAAAGAAGATCGCAGACAGAATAGTCTAGGGATGGGCAAAGGCTACAAACCTCACTCAGGGAAAAGGATCTTGGGGTGAGTATAACACCGAACACATCTCCTGAGGAGCACATCAACCAGATAAGTGCTGCGGCATACTGGCAACTAGCAAGCCAAAGAATAGCATTCCGACATCTCAGTAAGGAGTCATTCAGGACACTGTACGCCGTACACATCAGGCCCATATTGGAGTATGGAGCACCAGTTTGGAACCCACACCTGGCCAAGCACGTCAAGAAATTAGATAAAGTGCAGAGGTTTGCAACGAGACTAGTCCTGGAGCTAAAGGGCATATCCTACGAGGAAGGTTAAAGAAAATCGACCTGACGACACTGGATGACAGGAGAGACAAGGAGGACATGATAACAATATATAAAATATTGATAGGAATCGACAAGGTGGACAGAGACAGGATGTTTCATTCAAATTCAAATTCAAATTCAAAGTTTATTCTCTATAAAGATTACAATGTTGAATTTACAGAATTTGGTTGTTGTGTGGTTTACATGTAGTTAAATAATGATTACAGAGTGTACCACTAGAACGCCTAGCATGGCTAGGCATTTCGGGCAGACTTAGTTTAATTCTTTATTTTAAAATATTACAAATTATGAGGTAATTGGTATTATGGCTAAGTGACTAAATACTAGTTTGTGAGTTTAGCAATGTGAATGCTTTTGTTTTGGCACAGTACATAGTTTCAGTATTGGAGTATCATAGGATTCATTATTTTAAGATTGAGATTAATATTTCTGTTTATGGTCAAATGGGTGGAGTGAGTGTAAGTGTGAACCACCAGGTGGTATTCGTGTAGTTAGTTGATGGGGTTTATCAGGGAGATAAGATGTTTTCTAATGGTAGTTTTGAAGGTGATGAATGTGTCTGCAGTTCTAGAGTTCTCAGGTAGGGTGTTCCATATTTTAGGGCCTTTGACACACATTGAATTTTTGTAAAGGTTTAGTCGGACATGGGGAATGTCGTAGAGATGTTTGTGTCTGGTGTTATGCCTGTGGGTTCTGTCACAACTATCAAGAAAGCGTTTTAGGTCAAGGTTGATATTGGAGTTTAAGGTCCTGTAGATGTAGATTGCACAGTAGTAAGTGTGGATGTACTGAACAGGGAGTAAGTTTAGATCTATGAAGAGTGGGGGGGTGTGTTGCCAGGGATGGGATTTAGTGATTATTCTTACTGCAGCTTTTTGTTGGGTTATTATTGGCTTTAGGTGTGTTGCTGCAGTTGATCCCCAAGCACAAATAGCATAGGTGAGGTATGGATAAATAAGTGAGTGGTATAGTGTGAGAAGGGCATTTTGCGGCACGTAGTATCGTATCTTTTCATAGATAGGACACAGCAACAAGGAGTCACAGTCGGAAGATGAAGACTCAGATGAGTCACAGGAATGTTAGGAAGTATTTCTTCAGTCATAGAGTGGTCAGGAAGTGGAATAGTCTGAAAAGGGAGGTGGTGGAAGCAGGATCCATACATAGATTTAAGATATGATATAGCTCACGGAGCAGGGAGGGAGTGACCTAGTAGTGACCAGTGAAGAGGCGGAGCCAGGAGCTATGAATCGACCACTGCAACCACAATTAGGTGAGTACACACAGACACACACACACAAACCTTCTGGAGTTTTATGACAAGGTAACAGAAGTAAGACACGAGAGAGAGGGGTGGGTTGATTGCATTTTCCTGGACTGCAGGAAGGCCTTTGACACAGTTCCCACAAGAGATTAGTGCAGAAGCTGGAGGATCAGGTGCATATAACAGGGAGGGCACTGCAATGGATCAGGGAATACCTGACAGGGAGGCAACAACGAGTCATGGTACGTGAAGAGGTATCACAGTGGGCGCCTGTGACGAGCGGGGTCCCACAGGGGTCAGTTCTAGGACCAGTGCTATTTTTGATATATGCGAACGACATGATGGAAGGAATAGCCTCTGAAGTGTCCCTATTCGCAGATGATGTGAAGCTGATGAGAAGAATTAAATCGGATGAGGATAAGGCAAGGACTGCAAAGAGACCTGGACAGGCTGGACATGTGGTCCAGAAACTGGCTTCTCGAATTCAACCCTGCCAAATGCAGTCAAGAAGATTGGGGAGGGGCAAAGAAGACCGCAGACAGACTATAGGCAGGTGGACAAAGACTACAGACCTCACTCGGGGAGAAAGACCTTGGGGTGACCATAACACCGAGCACGTCACCGGAGGCACACAACCAAATAACTGCTGCAGCATACGGGCGCCTGGCAAACCTGAGAATAGCTTTCCGATACCTTAATAAGGAATCGTTCAAGACACTGTACACTGTGTAAGTTAGGCCCATACTGGAGTATGGAACCCACACCTGGTCAAGCACGTCAAGAAGTTAGAGAAAGTACAAAGGTTTGCAACAAGGCTAGGCCCAGAGGCTCAGGGAATAGTCGTACGAGGAAAGGTTGAGGGAATCGGACTGACGACACTGGAGGACAGAAGGGTCAGGGGAGACATATACGCATACAAGATACCTGCGGGGAACTAGACATGGTGGGACAGAGATAGGATGTTCCAGAGAGGGGACACCAGAAAACAAGGGTCACAATGGAAGATCTCAGCGAGTCACAGGGACGTGAGGAAGAATTTCATTCAGTCATAGAGTCGTCAGGATGTGGAATAGCCTGCAAGTGATGCTAGTGGAGGCAGGAACCATACTAGTTTAAGAACCGAGGTATGACAAACGCTCAGGAGCACGAGAGGGAGAGGACCTAGTAGCGATCAGTGAAGAGGCGGGGCCAGGCTGCTGACGTTCTCGGCCCCTGCTAACCACAATTAGGCTGAGTTACATTGGTGAGTGCACACACAACACACACCACACACACCCACACACAACTCACACACCACACACACACACCCACACACACACACACATCCACACCAACACACACACACACAACACTCACCCACACACCCACACACACACACACACCACACACCACACACACACTCACACTACTACACACACACCCACCACTCACACACACACACACACACAGCACATATACAACAGGCTTGTGTCTAAATCGACAATGTGCCTACGACAAAATGGGAAACTAACACCACACATTAACAAGTGAAAAGTCTTAAAGAATAAATTCCATTTTACTCTGTAACACAAGTCATTTTCATTTTGTAATTCAAAGACCATCCGAATCCCATTTGGACTCGGAAAATTGGACCTTTGCTCACTGCAAAGCTGTGGGCTCTGACCACAATAATTCCTGACCCAGTGTTCTCACACACTCAGTTACTCTACGAACAAGTCTAGGGAACAAATGAACAGAAGAGAAAATATGAACCGCGCAAATGGTGTAGAGTTGAGTGGCATACAACAGCAGGCGGGGTGGGGGTACACGTACAAGCAGATGAGAATGTCTAACAGGAACGTAAGCCTAAAAACATGGTGGAATGTTACTGGACAGGCTAAGCATACCCAACATGTGGAATGTTCACAGGAACAGCTAAGCCTACCAACCATGGTGGATGTTACAGGAACAGTAAACCTACCAACTCGGTGGAATCGTTACACGGAACAGTAAAGCATACCAACATGGTGGAAGTTACAGGAAACAGTATGCTTACAACCAGGTGGAAGTTACTGGAACAGTAAGCATACCAACATGGTGGAATGTTACAGGAACAGTAAGCCTACCAACATGGTGGAATGTTACTGGAACAGTAAGCATACCAACATGGTGGAATGTTACAGGAACAGTAAGCCTACCAACATGGTGGAATGTTACAGGAACAGTAAACCTACACATAAATCGGTGGAAGTTACAGGAACAGTAAGCATACCAAAATGGTGAAATGTTACAGGAAAAGTGAAGCATCACCAACATGGTGGGGAAGTTACTGGAACTAGTAAGCATACAACATCGGTGGATGTTACAGGAACAGTAAGCACTTCAATCATGTGGAATGTTACAGGGACCAGTAAACCTCACCAACATGGTGGAATGTTACAGGAACAGTAAGGCATCCCAACATTGGATGGAATGTTACAGGACGAAGCATACCACATGGTGGAATGTTTACAGGAAACAGTAAGCATACCACATGTGGAATGTACAGACACTGTAAGCCTACCTAACATGGTGGCAATGTTATGGAACAGTAAGCCATACCAACATGGTGGATATGTTACTGGAACCGTAAGCATAACAAACATGGGTGGAATGTTCAAGAACAGTAAACTACCACAGGTTGGCAATGTTACTGGAAACAGTATGCCTACCACTTGGTTTGGAATGTTACAGGAAACAGTAAGCATACAATCAGGGTGGAATTGTTACCAGGAAACAGTAAAACCTACAACATGGTGGAATGTTACTGTAACAGTAAGCCTACCAACATGGTGGAATGTTACAGGAACAGTAAGCCTACCAACA